TGTATTTTCAGTAGACATGGGGTTTCACCACGTTGGGAAGGATGGTCTCGATCTCTTGACCTTGTGATCCGCCCGCCTTTGCCTCCCGAAGTGTTGGGATTACAGGCGTGAGCCACCGTGCCTGGCCAAAGTATTTTTAATTGTTTATATTTATGGGGTACAACATATGATGTGGTTTTTTTTTTGAGACAAAAAACAAAAATACAACCTATAGTGACCGTGACTACAGTGGATCTTCAGAACTTATTCATGGAAGGATTTTAAGCAGAGGAATGGTGCAACATTTTTAAAGGAATAATGAGATTACCCTGGTGACTACTTGAAGAATGTCTTGGGGAGAGCCAAAATAAATGAAGGGAACTTGATGAGGTCATTCAAGTATGATTATGGAGGGAGGTGATCAAAAAATCGGATGTAGAAACATAAGCCAACTGTCCACTTACTGATGCTGACTAAACCTTATTAGCTGAACAAATGGAAAAACACCAACAATTTAAAAAACCAAAACCAAAATCAAAACAAAGAAACAGAAAAAAAAGAAACTGTCCTTACTAGTTTTGTTGTATATTAATTTTTTAATTGAGGTATAATTTATATAAAATAAAATGCACAGATTTTAGATGTACAGTTCTATGTGTTTTGATGAATGTAAACACGTAGGTAACTGCCTAGGTCATTAAGACATGAAACATTTCGGTCACTTCGATACATTTATCTTGTGCCTCTTTCTATGCAATTCTTTCTACTTGGGCAGCCACTAATCTTTTTGACGTGGTGAATTAGTTTCTCCTGTTCTAGGAATTCATATAAATGGAATTATTTGGCATGTACACCTTGGTGCCTTTTTTTCCCCCACTCAACCTAATGTTTTTGAAATCCATCCGTGCTGTGTATATCTCTAGTTTGTTTCTTACTACTGAAAAGTATTCTCTTGTATGAGAATCTCCATAAGCCATTACAATATGTGACCTTTTGTGTCTGATGTCTCTCTCTCTTTTGTAGAGATGAGGAGCCAAAAGAATTAAAATTGATGCTTGGAGAATGAACTTGGAATTCTGAGGCGGAATAGAAGCAGTATGTGTTCAGATCTTGGCAGCAGCCAAAATGAACTATTTTGGGGCCAATGGAGTGGTCTATAGGGTCCCTGACACTGGGGCATAAGTGGAATTAGAATGAGGGTGCCTGGTGATCTGTGTAAACTCTAGGATGGGTATCATTTGGGGATGTGGGTAGTGTGTCCATATTTCCCTGAGAAGGATTGGGCTTGATGCCTCCCTCAGATTATTATTATTTTTAGACAGGGTCTCACCTCACTCTGTCACCCAGGCTGGAGTGCAGTGGCATGATCACGGCTCACTGCAGCCTCAACCTCCCAGGCTCAAGTGATCCTCTTACCTCAGCCTCCCAAGTAGCTGGGACTACAGGTGTGTGCCACGCCTGGCTAAGTTTTACAGTTTTTTGTAGAAATAGGGTTTTGCCATGTTGCCCAGGTTGGTCTTGAATTCCTGGGCTCAAGTGATCCTCCTGCCTTGGCCTCCCAAAGTGCTGGGATTACAGGAGTGAGCCATTGCACCTGGCCTCATTCTCAGATATTTGTTGTTGTTGAGCTTTTTGTTTTTGCCAAAGATGCTTGCATTTGGCTTTCTTGAGTTTTGCTCCATGGTTTTTGAACCAAACCTACAGTACTTCTAGATATCGTTCCATTGTGGAGATCATATCTTTCTGAATGCTGGGGTTTGTGTATGGGTTCTTACTGAACAAGTTCAGATCTTCCAGTTGTTTCTCGATGTAGTTTGTTTGTTTGTTTGTTTCTTTTTTTTTTTTTTTTTTTTTTTTTTTTTGAGACAGAGTCTCCCTCTGTCACTCAAGCTGGAGTATGGTGGTGTGATCTCAGCTCACTGCAACCTCTGCCTTCCAGGTTCAGTCGATTCTCTTGGCTCAGCCTCTTGAGTAGCTGGGATTACAGGCATGCACCACCACACCTGGCTAATTTTTTGTATTTTTAGTAGAGATGGGGTTTCACCATGTTGGTCAGGCTGGTCTCAAACTCCTGACCTCATGATCTGCCTGTCTCAGCTTCCTAAAGCGCTGGGATTACGGATGTGAGCTACTGTGCCTGGCCTGTAGTTTGTTTCTTTTGTGAACACCTCTGAGGCTTGCCTTTGGGAATATCCTATGAACTTAATTTAGATATGCTCTTATGTTTAGGCCCAATTGTCTTAGGTATATACATACTGAGGAGTAGAATTACTGGATCATATGGTAACTCTGTGCCTAATTTTTTTTTTTTTTTTTTTTTTTTTTTTTTTTTTGAGATGGAGTTTCGCTCTTGTTGCCCAGGCTGGAGTGCAATGGTGCGATCTTGGCTCACTGCAACCTCTGCCTCCCAGGTTCAAGGGATTCTCCTGCCTCAGCCTCCTGAGTAGTTGGGATTACAGGCATGCACCATCACACCCAGATAATATTGTATTTTTAGTAGAGATGGAGCTTCTCCTTGTTACTTAGGCTAGTCTCGAACTCCTTACCTCAGGTGATCTACCTGCCTCTGCCTCGCAAAGTGCCAGGATTACAGGCATGAGCCACCATGCCCAGCCTATCTTCATTCTTTTCGCACGTGGTTATCTAGTTGTACCAGTACCATTCGTTGAAAAGACTATTATTTCCTTATTGAATTGTCTTGGCACCCTTGTCCAAGTTCATGGACCACTTGTCCATGAATGTGTGTTTATTTTTGTACTCTCAGTTCTTTTCTGTTAGTCTATATGTGTTAGTCTCTTTTCACACTGGTATTAGGAACTGCTGAAGACTGGTAACTTATAAAGGTAAGAGGTTTAATTGATTCACAGTTCTTCATGGCTGGAGCAGCCTCAGGAAACTTACAGTCATGGTGGAAGGCAAAGGCATGTCTTACATGTTGGCAGGCAAGAGACAGAGAGAGAAGAAACTACCACTTGATTGATTGATTGACTGATTGAGACAGAATCTTGTTCTGTCACCCAGACTGGAGTGTAGTGGCACAATCTCGGCTCACTGCAACCTCTACCTCCTGGGTTCAAGCAGTTCTCCTGCCGCACCCTCCTGAGTAGCTGGGATTACAGGCATCTACCACCACACCCAGCTAATTTTTGTATTGTTAGTAGAGACTGTGTTTCACCATGTTGCCCAGGCTGGTCATAAACTCCTGATTTCAGGTGGTTCACCTGCCTCGGCCTCCCAAAGTGCTGGGATTACAGGCGTGAACCATTGCGCCCAGCTCAAACACTTTAAAAGTGTCAGATCTCATGAGAACTCATTCACTATCACGAGAACAGCATGGGGGAAACTGCCCCCATAATCCAGTCACCTCCCACCAGGTCCCTCCCTTGACACATGGGTTTACAATTCCAGATGAGATTTGGGTGGGGACACAGCCAAACCATATCACTATACGTCTGTGCTTACGCCAGTTGGACGTTGACTTTTGGAGGCCAAGTTGTCTGGCTGAGCAAGGACCCTGGGGGCAAAAGTGGCTTGTCTTGCAGGAATCCCCTTGGCTCTAGAAGGTTCAGGATTTATCCCAGCACTTGGCCTGGAACTTCACTATTACCTAGTCAGTTCTTCTAGACTTTTAAGGTAGTACTTTATTCATTTTTTTTAATCCAGCATTTAAAAAATAGTTTTTAGGAGGTGTTCTAAAACCCACCATTCATATAAAATGGAATTCAAGCCAAGTGTGGTGGCCTGAGCCTGTCATCCCGGCTACTCGGGAGGCCGAGGTGGAGAAACTGCTCAAGGCCAGGAGTTTGAGACCAGCCTGGGTGATATAGCGAGTATTCATCTCAAGAAATACATACAAATAAATAAAAATGGAATTCAAAATTATTTATCTATAATTATGACATTTGGGTAGTGTGTCCCTGAGAAGATATCTTTAGGAAGTAGAGGACTCATTCATGGCATCTTAGAAAAAACTGCCCTGCTCACTGCTGCTTTTAAAGCCACGTTTGTGATAGCTAATAAAAGCAGCTTTCAGTAATTGTGTGCTTTATTCTGGTAGATATAACTTTTACTGGGGACATTAGGTATACTCTTTAATCTAATTAACACAACCAAGCTTTAAATTGTATTTATTAATATTAATATTGCCAGTATTCTCGTTTTACAAATGAGGATGCTGCGAGGGTCAGAAGCTTGCCCGAGGACAGACGGTGATGATTAGTTGCCTTTGACATGGGCTCAGACCCCTGACTGCAGCGCCGGGCTCTTCACCTCGTTGGTTCTCTTCTCCATGGGAACCCTCAGAGAGAGTCTGGGTGTTTGAGGTCATGGCGTAGTCTTCTGTAGTAAGTACTGTAAGGCTTAGCAGGGCATTTGCCTGCTCTGTTTTTCCCTGTCCCTCTTGTGGTGGGAACGTGAACTTCCTTACAGGCGGGAACTGGAGAGTCTTTTCTAATGGTTCTCACAGTTCCTTGAGTGTAGGAACTACAGGGGAAGCAGGTTTTAACATTCTGATTCCTGGACTTCAGTATCAGAGTCCAGTGCAGCAGGTAGGGAGGGGAGTCGTGCTTGGGACTCTGAAGGTCTGATGTGCTCCCTGGGAGATCTGTTGCACCTGGTCTTGGATCACACATGGAGAAAAGCGGGTCCACAGGTTACATTTAAAGTCCTTGGGTATTGTGGACTTCTTGTTCTCTCTTCTCTGTTTTTAAAGGGCTACACAATGTTTTTCCAGTGTCTGGGGAATATTCCTTTACCTTTTAGTTCCTTAAAAAAGTAGAGACCAGTACTTTTAAATGAGAGTTATGTTTAGTGTTTTATAAGCACTGTTGTCAGGTAGAGATGAGCATGTTTGATTCAGAACAACTCTGCTATTAATAAAATGCAATATCTAGTAGTTTGTTATTAATGACTGTAATTTCATGGTAAGAGCCTCAAGGGGAAAATAAAGTATCTGGTTACTTTAGAGAAGAACAATCTCAACCTGTCTTTTCCTACCTCCTCCCTCTTCTGCTTTTTTTCAGATTGTCAAGTGGTCCGACTGTTGTTTGCCATTAGCTTGCAGACCTGGGGATCCTTATCGGTTAATTGCGGAAGCAAGTGTGGACAACTTCAGCAAGCTGGGGGTGGCGTTCATGGAAGATAGACTCCAGATGGATAATGGTCTGGTACCCCAAAAGATTGTGTGTAAGTAACTTTAGAAAATGTTTTTTTTTTGTTTGTTTGTTTTTGAGACGGAGTTTCGCTCTTGTTACCCAGGCTGGAGTGCAATGGCGCGATCTCGGCTCACTGCAACCTCCGCCTCCTGGGTTCAGGCAATTCTCCTGCCTCAGCCTCCTGAGTAGCTGGGATTACAGGCACACACCACCATGCCCAGCTAGTTTTTTGTATTTTTTTATTAGAGACGGGATTTCACCATGTTGACCATGATGGTCTCGATCTCTTGACCTTGTGATCCACCTGTCTCGGCTCCCAAAGTGCTGGGATTATAGGCGTGAGCCACCGTGCCCAGCCCAGAAAATGTTTTTATTGGCCAGGCGTAGTGGCTCATGCCTATAATCCCAGCACTTTGGAAGGCCGAGGCAAGAGGATCACTTGGAGCCCAGGAGTTCGAGACCAGCCTGGGCGTATCTATCCGATCTCTGAAAAAAGCAAAAAAAATATAAAAAATAAAAAATCAGCTGGGTGTGGTGGTGCACGCCTGAGGTCCCAGCTACTTGGGAGGCTGAGGTGGGAGGATCACTTGAGCAGGGAGGTTGAGGCTACAGTGAGCCATCGTCACACCACTGCATTCCAGTCTGGGTGGCAAAGTGAGACCTTGTTTCAAAGCAATAAAATAAAATAAGAAAAGATTTTATCATAGTCGGACACTCTAGGTTATTAGCTTAAGGACTGTTGAGTACTCTTACTGGTATGACATAAGGGCTATGCTTAGTTTCAGTTTAATTCAGTCAACACGTTTGATTTTACTATAACAATATATAATTCATGCATGTGTCAAGTGTATATTTTTTGGGGGAGGGTGGCAGGGTACATTTTTGTGCTTATTAAATTTCTTTTTTTTTTTTGAGATGGAGTTTTGCTCTTGTTGTCCAGGCTGGAGTGCAATGGTGTGATCTCAACTCACTGCAACCTCTGCCTCCTGGGTTCAAGCAATTCTCCAGCCCCAGCCTCCCGAGTAGCTGGGATTACAGGCATGTGCCACCATACCTGGCTAATTTTGTATTTTTAGTAGAGATGTGGTTTCTGCATGTTGGTCAGGCTGGTCTCAAACTCCTGACCTTGGGTGACCTGCCCTCCTTGGCTTCCCAAAGTGCTGGGATTACAGGCATGAGCCACCACGCCCGGCCTATTAAATTTCTTAAACAACAACGTTTCATAACTGCATTGCTCATGAGGCATTCATATTCAGAATCCATCTCTTATTTATGTCACACAGTTTAATACAGGATAACTGGTGTCTAGACTCTAGTTTGGATTGAGTGGGAAGCATAGATAGAGTTACTATGAAGTGCTAAATCAAACAGCTTTTTACTTAAAGTTTGTGTACCACAATTTTTTGGGACAAATTCCTTTTCAGGAAACATGCAAACTCTTCTTCCTTGATTAGACTTAAAAACAGGCGTTTTATGTCTACGAATGTCTTCTTTCGTCTCATGGGCAAATAAATGTCCCTTATCAGCTCTGGAAGTTTAGGTAAATCCCTTAATATCCAGAATCACCTTGTACATGTCTCTAATACCATGTCTGACACATAGCAAGTGCTCAATAATCGTTTTTGAATCAATGATTGTCAACTTATGTTCCAGTCCCGAGACAGGAAGAGTCTTCTCCCACTGATCCTATGACGTGTCCTGAGACTGACGTTTCACTGGGTCATGCTGGGATAGACTTTAGATATGTGTCCTTTTTATTGCTCAGTTTCATTATCGTAAAGGAGAGTAACACCCAAGAAATAGAATATGTAAGTAAGGAGGCAAAGGCACCTCTCTGAATCTCACTTTCTTCACCAGTCAGTAAGAGGAGCTTAGGTTCTCTGATAGGTGTGAAAGATGTTGGGCAAACTGCTGATTTCACTTGGGGTCTTCAGGCAGGAACAATTCGTGTTTCCAAAGGATGTCCCTGGGTTAAGGGGCAATGCAGGTGGGAGCCATGCCAGTGGCTGCCCTGGAATTTAAGTCCCAGAATGCAGAGAGGGTGATGAGATTCTTGAGATGAGCTATGTGTCACACAAGAAGTGCTGATAATTCTCTCTCTCTCCTGTTCCTGCCTTAGCGGTGCACTTGCAGGATTCCACCCTGAAGGAAGTGAAGGATCAGGCCTCAAACAAGCAAGCCCAGATCCTAGAACCGAAGCCTGAATCTTCTCTTGAGATTAAGCCTGAGCAGGATGGTATGGAGCATGTTGGCAGAGATGACCCAAAGGCTCTTGGTGAAGAGCCAAAACAGAGGAGAGGCAGTGCCTCTGGGAGTGAGCCTGCTGGGGACAGTGACAGGGGAGGGGGCCCTGTCGAGCATTATCACCTCCATCTGTCCAGTTGCCACGAGTGTCTGGAACTTGAGAACAGCACCATTGAGTCAGTCAAGTTTGCATCTGCAGAGAACATTCCAGACCTTCCCTATGATTATAGCAGCAGTTTGGAGAGTGTTGCTGATGAAACTGGCCCTGAAAGAGAGGGAAGGAGAGTCAACGTCACGGGAAAGGCACCCAACATCCTCCTCTATGTGGGCTCCGACTCCCAGGAAGCCCTCGGCCGCTTCCAGGAGGTCCAGTCCGTGCTGGCCGACTGTGTGGACATTGACAGTTACATTCTCTACCACCTGCTGGAGGAAAGTGCCCTCAAAGACCCGTGGACGGACAACTGTCTGCTATTGGTCATCGCTACCAGGGAGTCCATCCCCAAAGTCCTATACCAGAAGGTCATGGCCTATCTGTCTCAGGGAGGGAAGGTGCTGGGCTTGTCTTCGTCCTTCACCTTTGGTGGCTTGCAGGTGACAAGCAAGGGTGTGCTGCGGAAGACAGTTCAGAACTTGGTTTTCTCCAAGGCCGACCAGAGCGAGGTGAAGCTCAGCGTTTTGAGCAGTGGCTGCAGGTACCAGGAAGGCCCCGGAGAGCGGCTCAGCCCCGGCGGGCTCCAGGGCCACCTGGAGAACGAGGACAAGGACAGGATGATTGTGCATGTGCCTTTTGGAACTCATGGGGGAGAAGCTGTTCTTTGCCAGGTACTCAGGGCAGCGTGGATTTGGTGATCTTTGGGTATCTGTGGGTATCTTTGAGAGGGAATATGCCTTTTAAAGCTACATGCTTAAACGTTTCAGGAGTTTGTGTGCTGCAGGCTGTTTTTGACTGTTGGCTGGGAGCTTTTGCTGATAGTGAGCAGGTTTAGTTTAGTTCGGGGCTTTCTTGAATACCCTGATTAACCAAAAGACTTGTGAGGAAGGAACAAGGTGGGTGTCAGGGATAAATGAGCTTGCTGGTTAACTGAGGCTTAGTCAGAAAATTCTGGTTTGGTTCTTTACTAGTAATGATCTTTCTTAACTACATCAGTCTGCATTCTTGCCTCAGAGTACCCCTTGGTTTAATATAATCTAGCCTTTATTTAACGTAGGAAGTTAAAACCATCAGGGTCATGATTATAGATGTCAGTGACCACCACGATGAAACACTACAGTTGATTGGCAAGGTAGTTTTGTGTTAAAACAGCTTCAGGTTCCCAATTCCTTTCTTATGTTTTGTCGCACTTCCAAGTGCTGAAGAAAATCTTCAGACAAGAGAATACTGATCCCAGCTACTCAGGAGGCTGAGGCAGGAGAATTGCTTGAACTTGGGAGATGGCGGTTGCAGTGGGCCGAGACTGTGCCACTGCACTCCAGCCTGGGCAACAGAGTGAGACTCCATCTCAAAAAAAAAAAAAAAAAAAAAAAAAAGACAATATTGAAGCTACTTAGATTTGTGGCATAATAATACACAGGGAAAAAAATGGAAAGAGGAGGAAAGGGAAATGCTAATTTCTTGCTTAGGAGATCCTTTGGTTCTTCTTTTTTTTATTATTCCATCTTCTTTTTCCTTTTAGCTTTTTGTTTGTTTAAGCAAACAGTAGCTAATAGACTGTTTCAGAATTCTTTATCATTTACTCCAAATCTTTTAATGCTTAGGGGAAAAGGTTTTCATTCGAGTTAGATGAACGTTCACTTGCCTTTGAGGATTTGATGCTCTAATGAGAAAACTAAGCAGACAGAGATTTTGTCCAGAAGCATTCTCAAGATAAGTGTAATAGATTTTGTTTTATTATAGGGACCTTTTTATTGAGTTAGAGAATTGTTAACTTTTTTGTTTTGTTTTCATTTTGTAATGCTTTGACTTTTTCCAGTTCTCCTGGAAGCGAAGTCTCTTTGATTTTTCTGGTCACACATTTTTCCAGGGAGTATATATTTGTTTCTTTACAATTCTTAACCAACTCACTTGTTCTTAATACCCAAGCAGAGATGCTTAAAATTGAGGAATTCGGACATTAGGACGGGTGAATGTGTACAGCCCAGGCAGGTTTCCTGTAGGGTTGCAGACCGCATGAATTAGCTTTTGGAGGCCTAATAAATGTTCCTCTTATCTTTTTATCTGCAAATATGGTAACTATAGTAACTGCGTATTCTCAGAAAACCCACTTAAAAACCTGACTTCCTAGAGCCATATTTCAGTTTTGAAGAGCGAATTTTACCACCCCCGAGCACAGACGTGGACTAGAAAATTGATTTGGCACTGTTGGCGATCCGTTTCTCCGAGTTACAGAGCAAATCTGCTTGCTCTACCATTTAAATTGACCCCATTACTGTCATAAAATTTGATACTGCAGTGCATTGCCCTAGAAAAAAAAAAGGCAATATGATGCAGCTTCACAAATCAGATTCAGAGGATTAGAATGCCATTTTTGATTTTAAATGACTTCCAGTCTTCTGTGTGACAGGGTCACTGCTTTTTCCCCAGGCCTGTGTCTCTGTGATACCTTACTGAGATTAAAAAATAAATATTATCACAGGCTGGTTAGTTTCCCCTTACCCTGTTCAATTTCATAGCCTTCGTCTTTGTAATAAATCTAGTGATGATGTAACCCAATAAGAGGAGGTGAAGAACTTCAAGGGCAGAACACAGCTGCACCCTAGGCAGTGGTGTCACAGCCAAGCAAGCTGCAGATTTGATGCCTTTGCCATTCATAATAGTAAAGAAAGAGAGGAAATGTTTGTGCGCTGGCTGTGTGCTGATCAAGTTTGCAGGGAAAACTTAAGGCTGTGGATTAATGCTGACATTTGAGGGTCAAATGGACCAGGAGTTTGCCATGAAGTTGTCCACAGAAAATCTCTAACGTGGATTTTGAAAGATTTTGTTTTGTTTAGCTTAGCACATGGTTGCAGTGGGTCGGCTTTTATGGCAGAGTTTCTCAAACATGGCAGTACTGACATTTTGGGTCAGAGAATTCTTGGTGGTGAGGGGCAGTCTCGTGCAATTTAGGCTGTGGAATAACATCCCTGGTCTCTTCCCCACTAGATGCCAGTACCACTCTCTCTCCCTATTTGTGCATGGAGATATTTTTTAGTTCTGGTCTTCGGTCCAACTAAAAAGTCTTAACTTTTAGAAGAAGCCAAGTTACAGAAATAGACCTGTCATTATGGTAACAGGATTACACCCAGAGGATGAGACTCTAGTCCAGTACCTCTGTGGATGAGGAGCCTAAATCTACCACCCACACACTCTGGCGTGCCACGTCTCCCTGCTCACTGGGAGCGTAGAACCGGAGGCGGCCTCTTTTCTTGTTTCCGTTGTAGAAGCGCCTACATCTTGAAACCGTCAGACAGTGAGGCAAAGCAGTCCTTGGGGTTTCAGCGGCCGTCTTCCTCCTGGTCTCCTGGAACTCGGCCCCCTTGTAGCGCATCCAGTTTCCCATCCTGGCATCTTTCTCATGTGAAAATGAGTTTGTACAATTCATGGTGTGTGCGCCTTGGATACTCTGTATTCACCCTGCCCAGTGAGCCCAAATGCATTCAGTCGTGTACCTCTCATCCCTTCGGCTCTGGTGGGAACGGAACTTGACTTATTTCATTCCTGCCCCGCCGTAAGGCTTAATCTCCGGGATAGCCATGTGCTCACGAGAATTAAATGGGTCTTGCTGCTGTGCTCTTTGTCTACGCTGGCATGGTTTTGTCCACCGGAGAGGTGCACATTTAGGGTAGAAGCAACTGAGTAGGATACGATTCCTTAGAGGGTGTTGCTTTTCTGCTTGTCCCCGCCTCCAGGACTATCTAGAGAACAGGCACACCTGATCTGTCGCCCCCGATCGGCGTCCTCACTCTTGGGGGAAGCAGCCAGCCTACAGCCGAACAGCTGGTGGTTTGGGGACCGTGGTGGGCAGTGTCCTGCAGACCTTTTCTGATTGGACTCAACTTTTTTTTTGAGCCAGAGTCCCGCTGTGTCACCCAGGCTAGAGTGCACTGGCACAATCTCAGTTCACTGCAACCTCTGTCTCCCAGGTTCAAGCAGTTCTTGTGCCTCAGCCTCTCAAGTAGCTGGGATTGCAGGCGTGTGCCACCACACCTGGCTAATTTTTGTATTTTTTCGTGGCAATGGGGGGTTTCGCCATGTTGGCCAGGTCTCCGACTCCTGGCCTCAAGTGATCCTCCCGCCTCGGACCGCCAAAGTGCTGGGGTTATAGGAGTGAGCCACCACACCCAGCCAGGCCTCAACTTCTAACATTCAGTTGATATATTTGGCTTGGTTAAGTCGTGGGTGGGAACTGAGAGATTTTAAGTGGCCTGAAAGCTGGCACTATGCTTTTCTATTTTCATACTACTTCTATAATATCAGGCTAGAAGCTTTGCATACAGTCGGCAAAGCCAAAACAAAATAAGGCAAAGGAGCTCAGTTTGCTTTTCTGGGTACTCAGTGTTCTGGCAACCTCTGGGCTCCAATGCTCATTTAAAATCTGATCTCAGGGGAGCTAGAGGTTCCAGTAAGTTCCTTCATACCACGACAGAGACTGTCGATAGGTGGAGACATTTTAATTTTAATTTTAACTAGACAACAAAGCCTGAAGTCACGAAGTGAAGTTCCAAGTCTTAAAATTCACTCAGGGGAAGGAGGGTGGCAGGAAAGGCCTTTCCAGTGTCCAGGAAATCTTACTCCTCCTTCCTCAGTAAGTCCTCACTTACAAGTTGTTGATAGGTTCTTGGAAACGGCACACTTAAGTGAAATGATATATAATGAAGCCATTGTTACCATAGGCTAATTGATACAAACAAGAAGTCAGTTCCCATGGCATATTTCTGTCCTCAAGACATCACCAAACTTCTAAATAAAGGCCCAAACACTGAAACATTGAAATAAATATGAGTTATATGTACATTTAAGAAAGATTAATAAAAACATAAGATAATTATTTCCCTAATTATTTCAGTTCAGCATGGTGGGTGGCCGGGTGGCTGGAGCTCATCCTGGAAGCTCAGGGCACTGGCGGGGAGCCAGCCCTGGCCGGAGTGGGAAGGCACATTCGCACTTGCACCCACACTTCTCAGACCAGGACCATGCAGACACGTCCGTGCACTAATGTGCACAGCTTGGAAGAAAACCCGTGCAGACATGGGGAGAATACGCAGACCCACACAGACTGTGGCCCCGGCGGGGAAGTGATGTTTTTTTCCCCTTATCAACTTCATAACTAAATGACTTTGAGTGAAACAACGTTATTCAAGGACCTGTTGTATTTGAGTTCCTGCAAACTCTCTCTCTCTCTCTCTCTTTTTTTTTTTTTTTTTTTTTTTTGAGATGGTTGCACTCTGTTGCCCAGGCTGGAGTGCACTGGCACGATCATAGCTCACTGCAGCCTCAACCTCCTGGGTTCAAGGGATCATCCCAGCTCAGCCTCCCAAGTAGTTGGGACTACAGGCACACCACTCATGCCTGGCTAATTTTTGTATTTTTTGTAGAGAGAGGGCCTCACTATGTTGCCCAGGCTGGTCTGAAACTCCTAGGCTTAAGCAATCCTCCCACCTCTGCCTCCCAAAGTGTTGGGATTACAGGTATGAGCCCAGCCTCTTGCAAACTCCCTTAAAATGATGAATAAGACTGCTCTATTCCCTGGTTTTATTTTCCAGTTATGGCAAATAGATCAAATGGAAGTTTCCAGCATGACTCATTTGCCTCCTTGAACTCACTTGCAATTAAGTTTTCAGCACAGTTGTCTTTCTAGATATTTTGTTCCTATAACTAAGTTCAGTAGCTTGCAGAAGGTCACATGACTGATGAGTGTGGAACATCAGCACCTGGAGAGAGACGACCGTCCAGGGTCATTTCCACCATGGTCTCTCAGCCTGACAACCATGAATTTTTTTTTTTTTTTTTTTTTTTGAGGTGGAGTTTCACTCTTGTTGCTCAGGCTGGAGTGCAGTGGTGTGATCTCAGCTCACTGCAACCTCCACCTCCTAGATTCAAGCAATTCTCCTGGCTTCGGCCTCCTGAGTAGCTGGGATTACAGACATGCACCACCATACCCGGCTAATTTTTGTATTTTTAGTTGAGATGGGTTTCTCCATGTTGGTCAGACTGGTCTCAAACTCCCGACCTCAGGTGATCCGCCCGCCTTGGCTTCCCAGAGTGTTGGGATTAGAGGCGTGAGCCTCCGCACCCAGCCAGCCAATCACAGTTTTAATAGGCTTTTGGGAATCATTTTCTTGTTAGCCATCACTTTCCAGATATTCAGCTTCAGAGTTTATATGCTATTGATAATCAGAAAAATTCATGTTCAGGTTTTTTCTTTTGGATTATACTGTGTGTAAGGGTTATTGCCGAGTTTAAAATGAGGAAACTGAGACCAGCATAAGAAGATTAAATGCCAATTTATTTAACTCCCTGGCAAGGTTCCATGGTTCCGGGGGAAGGGGCCAGGGAAGTCACACCAGCTTCCTGGGGCATGGGGTTTTTATGGCTAGGAGGAACCACCAACAGCTGGGTGCTCTGATTGACTCTAGGGGAGTGGGATTGGCTATTGGTTGGCGGGTTGTTGGGCAGGTTTTCTGGTGGGAGAGCTGGCCAGGAGCCTTGCATCCGCTGGAACCTTCCGGGGAGCCATGTGGCAGAGCTAGGTGCCAAGTGCAGAGCCTGGTGCCGGGTGCAGAGGTCGGGGTGTCCAACCTCCCAGCGAGGCAACCGACCTTGCACTGTGTCCCTTAATTTTCAAAGGAGAGCAAAGCTATAAGCTATCTGGGTGTGATGTGCTCACTTGGAGAAGAAAACTGGTAAATAAATTTTTTGGTCAGGCATCGTGGCTCATACCTGTCTGTAATCCCAGCACTTTGGGAGGCTGAGGTGGGAGGATCGCTTGATCCCAGGAGTTTAAGACCAGCCTGGGCAACATCATGAGATCCGGTCTCTAAATTAAAAAAAGAAAAAAAAAAACAAAACCCAAACTGTTTTTCTTACTGCATGTGAGTGCCCCCAGTTTACAACGTGTGGTCTTTCCCTTCAGGTGCACTTGGAACTACCTCCCAGCTCTGACATCGTGCAAACTCCAGAAGATTTTAACTTGCTCAAGTCAAGCAATTTTAGAAGGTACGAAGTCCTTAGAGAGATCCTGACGACCCTCGGCCTCAGCTGTGACATGAAACAGGTTCCTGCCTTAACGCCTCTTTACTTGCTGTCAGCTGTGGAGGTGAGTTGTGGGCTCAGCTGGGCAGAGCGCACCGCAATGGGGCCCTCTTCACAGTGGCGACTAGTTGCCTTTCATTGTTTTATTTTGGTTGGTTTTGATTTTGATTTTTCATTTCTGTTTTGGCTTCGGGTTTGAAAATCATCTTCAAGATGTACAAGTGTTCATTTTGTGCGGGGAGCATTACGTGTCAGGGAGGGACGACTAGTAGAGCTTAGAAAGGTGTGAAGTCCGCAGGTGTGGCCCTTTCCACGTTAGGTGGAGGAGGGTCCCCGTGCAAAGAGTATGTTTAGAAACCGTTATTTTATTCATTTGGGATTGAAAACATTTGTTTTGATTTGGGCTGCTATCGGCAAATCTTCGGAACAATCACAGTTGTGCTCATGTCTGCCATCTTGTGGCAACTGCGCTCTGAGTTTCGGTTCACGTCTGTGAGTCGTGTCTAACAGGAAGATGCCCGTGGAGCTGGGAATGTGTTCGGGAATCCTCTCCTCTCGGCTGGTGCCTGCACTTGCTGCCTGTGATTGATACCTGGTTTTGGGCAGGTGGCCAGATTCCCCAGGTGTGTGTTCTTGCTAATCCCCCTTGCTTGGCCGTGCTGTTTCATAGTCGTTGTGACAAATTATTTTGTCTGTTTCTGTTGTCTTCTCCGAACAGACAAATTTGTAACTTTAATGACATAACCATGTAGTTTCTGCAAACACCCAATAGTCTTGGTGACTTTAAACACCAAACTGGGAGGCCAAGGTGGGTGGATCACGAGGTCAGGAGTTCAAGACCAGCTTGGCCAACACGGTGAAAACCCATGTCTACTAAAAATATAAAAATTAGCCGGATGTGGTGTTGGGTGCCTGTAATCCCAGCTACTTGGGAGGCTGAGGGAGAGAATTGCTTGAATCTGGGAGGCGGAGGTTGTGGTGAGCCTAGATCACCCCACTGCACTCCAGCCTGTACAACAGAGCGAGACTCCATCTCAAAAGAACACCAAACTTACCTGCTTTCTCTTGAACTGAACAAATCTTACCTCTCACCCCAATATTTTTTAAAAAGGAGGCAGTTTCTTTTTTTTTACACTGTGTCCCTTAGTTTTTGGAGGAGAGCAGAGCTATGAGCTATCTGGGTATGATGGGCTCACTTGAAGAAGACAAAGAGAAAATCTGAGAGCATTTAGGATTGGAATATCTTACAGGATTATTTGAGGACTAGATGAAATAATATATGTGAAAGTTCTGCATAAATTGTATTATTTAGATGTTGGGGTTGAATGAGTTAAATGTGTATAATATGCCTAACAAGTGCCCGTTACCTTATTTTAAAAGACTACAGGTATGTTTTTAATTTAAAAAATGAATAATATAGTAATGAATGATTTTTTTTTTTTTTTGAGATGGAGTTTTGCTTTTGTCGCCTAGGCTGGAGTGCATTGGTGCAATCTCGGCTCACTGCAACCCCTGCCTCCCGGGTTCAAGCGATTCTCCTGCCTCACCCTCCCAATTACAGGCATGCGCCACCACACCTGGCTAATTTTGTATTTTTGGTAGAGACATGGTTTCTCCATGTTGGTCAGGCTGGTCTCGAACTCCCAACCTCAGGTGATCTGCCTGCCTTGGGCTCCCAAAGTGTTGGAATTACAGGCGTTAGCCACTGCGCCTGGCCTGGTTTTTTCTTCTATTTAAGAAACTTTCTTTTTTATACTTTCACCCAGTCTTTAGCCAGTTTGCACTGGTTTGATGGATGCTCTTTGGAGTTAATGGTGTGGCTTTTGTTTGCCTCTCTGTCCCAGGAGCTCAGAGCATCCCGAGAGAGTGGAGTATCTCAGTTTTTATGTGTTGCATTAATAGAAGGAAGTGTCACGTCTGACTTGTGACTTATAAAAAAATAATCAAAATGAACCAGCCCTCAGAGCCTCAAGTGTTATGGACAACCCAGCTTGGAGGAGTGGGGCAGGGCCATGTTGGGAAGTGTGACTGGTGTCCCACTCCCCTAGACCGTCTCTATCCCCCTTTTCCTGGGCATGGAGGGCTGGGGCTGGCTACCTTGGCGAGTGCCTGCTCAGAGGCTCCCCGCCGGGGAAGTCAGGGAGTGAGGTGGCCTGGCCTTGCCCTTGGCAGAGCTCCCTGCCCTTTCCGGGAGTTCTGATTATGCTGATCTTCGGACTTGACCTCCAGACTCTTGGACAGAGCTGTGGATAGGAAAGAGCGGCCCTGCCCCAGGTTATTCTCCTGTGAGCAGAAGTTTGGCATTTCTGGTGTATTTAGGATGAGTATGACCTGAATACCCAAGTTGGGGCTTTGTGTCACATGTCCACTGATATTCAAGCACACAACAAACACTTCACATTTTTGTTCTTTCAGTTTTTTAAAACAGCCTGGGGCAGTGGGAGGTATACAGTTTCACCTATTGATTGATCAATTGGGGGAGTATTGATTTCCTTTTCACAAACCTTGGGAATGAAATGCTTGAATATGATTAGAGCAAATATTTTTCTCTGTATGCACATACATGAACACTCCCTACTAAGCCCCTTATTACATAGTAACTTTGGAAAAGAATTATTTTCAGAAACGTTCACTTCCCACTGCGGGCCCTTCACTTGGCCTTGCTGGTTTTCTTGGGAATCTGTGCTGTGGACTACTCTCCTCTCAGTTGCTTATTTCTCACTGAGTTCTGCTTTGCTTGGGAGCCCAAGGAATGGAATGATTATGTGTATGTTGTACATACCCTCATTTCTTAATGTTTATTTTTAGTTTTTGAGGCAGGGTCTTGCTCTATTGCCCAGGCTGGAGTGTAGTGGTGCAATCCTGGCTCACTGCAGCCTCAACTTCCCAAGCTCTTGAGATCCTTCCACCTCAGCCCCTCCTAGTAGCTGGGACTACAGGTGTGCATCACCACCCTTGGCTAATTTTTTAATACTTTTTGTAGAGACGGGGTTTCTCCATGTTGCCCAGCCTGGTCTTGAACTCCTGAGCTCAAACAGTCTGCCTGCCTTGGCTTCCCAGGGTGTTGGGATTACAGGTGTGAGCCACCGTGTCTGGCCTCTTTATTAACTCTGCTTAGATGACCTTGAATCTGCTATAGAAGGAAATGGCAGAATTCAGGGTTCTATCCGATGTTTTCTTGGAATACAGATTATCTAAAGGATGGTGGTGCAAATGAATTTGAACGTGGATCTACACTGATTGAGGTGGTCTTTCCAGAGAAGGCTGAATTCCTCCTGCATCCAGTCACTGTGCTGTGGGTCAGTGTTTATAGACCTGGACCACAGAGACTGGGAGTGGAATTGGGTTTGTACTTTGCATTTGGATTTCTTTCTGGCATCCCTACTTAACAGATCTCAATCATCCCCATGGAATTAAGTTTCATGGAAGGATCTTGGCACCCAGTCATCTGCTAAATCCACCTGTCCATTCAGTTCCTCGCCTGCGTTAGGGATTGGATGGCTGGGCCCGCTTTCTGCTTCCTGTGCCTCTGTTGCTGGGAATCAAAGATCTCTCGCCACAGGGTGTCGCTGCTGAGCTAGGCTGCCTGGCATACAGAATCCTAGAACTATGAAGTTGTTCAGAGGTTTTTTTTCTCTCTATATCAGTTTCACATAGTATAATTTTATAGTTTTCTATTATATTGGTGGCACTTTCTTTTGGGTCTGCAGAAATTATTTCAATGTCCCAGTTAATAATATTCGTCTTGCATTCAACATTTACCATGTCCTAGATACTATTATAGTATGGGATATGAAATAACAAAATAAATATACCAGTTATCTAAATAGTTTTACTGTGTACCAGCTGTGTTTATACAGTTTGCTGCCTTGACACTTGCTCTTTATGACGAATAGCATGGAAGATTTATGTGCTTCTCTGTTGCTGTGTTATAACTGGAAAGAATAGCAGCAAGACCCAAGGAGAAAAAGTCCCTCACGTCAATGACACTTGGCTCTTGGCATTTGTGAAGGATGCGCTCCGAGGCTTTCGTCGATCCCAAACACCACGGTAGAGTGTGATTCCCACTGTAAAACCCAGTCATGTGTGACTTCATCAGCGTCATCATGCCTGACACCAGGAGGCGCAGGCTCTGGGCGGCCGAGCTGGGCTTCCTCCCACCAAGGCTTTCACAGTTCATGGAACCTCCCAGGAGCAGGATTGAGATTTGGATCCTAACAAAATGAACAAAAGTTAAACCATAAAACAAACACACATTTGCTACACCTATCTCCGTAGAAAGAGGATTAGGCTGTGTGCGGCAGCTCACGCCTATAATCCCAATACTTTTGGAGGCTGAGGCCGGTGGATTGCTTGAGCCCAGGACGAAACCAGCCTGGGCAACCTGGCAAAATTTTGTATTCTTTACAAAAAATACAAAAATTAGCCAGGCATGGTGATGTGTGCCTGTAGTCGCAGCTACTCAGGAGGCTGAGGCAGGAGGATTGCCTGAGCCAGGGAGGTTAAGGCTATAGTGAGCTGTGATTGTGTCACTGCACTCCAGCCTGGGCAACAGAGACCCTGTCTCAAAAAAAAAAAGGAACAAGATTGGAAGGAAAAAGGAAATCTGTTATTTATTGAATGTATTTCTAGTGGAGTGCTTAAGGGTGATTTTTTTTTTTTTTTTTTTTTTTTTTTTTGAGACGGAGTTTTGCTCTTGTTACCCAGGCTGGAGTGCAGTGGCTGGCGCGATCTCGGCTCACCGCAACCTCCGCCTCCTGGGTTCAGGCAATTCTCCTGCCTCAGCCTCCTGAGTAGCTGGGATTACAGGCACGCACCACCATGCCCAGCTAATTTTTTGTATTTTTAGTAGAGACGGGGTTTCACCATGTTGACCAGGTTGGTCTCGATCTCTCGACCTTGTGATCCACCCGCCTCGGCCTCCCAAAGTGCTGGGATTACAGGCCTGAGCCACCGCGCCCGGCCTTTTAAGGGTGATTTTAATCATGTTTTAACACTTTCTCTGTATTTTTCAAACTTTCTATAATGATTGTATATTGCTTTTATAATGAGCCAAATTGGTTA